ATCTGTCCAGTTAGTAAGCTACAGGGCCAGGGGTCAAATCCTGGTCTCTGACCTCCATTCTGTACTTTTTCACTTCAACACACTCCAGAGTGGTTTGATCCACCAACATGGACAGCTGTACAAATGGCTGTTCCTAGGACCAGAAGAGGTGATAATAGATCCTGAGGGCACACAGGGAGAGACCAATTAAGAAGAACTCTACAGGAGAGTTTGATGGCAGCCATCAATCTGTCATCTGCTGCCAACCTCGAGGCTCTTAAAACAGAAAACTTATCCTGTTATATCCTGCTCAAAACCAGATTTGCTTATTATCTCCTCTTCATGTCTCCTGTGTGATTTTAAATCCTTCTGGCTCTGGCTCCCAATCTCATCTTCCACTTTCCCTGAGATACTCTGCCCTCCCCACTCTGGCTCTGGCCACCCCACTCACACCCCACCCACACTGCCCACAAGCACAACCTTCTCACTCAGGCCCCTTTCATACCGTTCCCCACACCTGAACTCTCTTTTCCTCTTCTACCTAGTCATACTTCAGAGGCCAGCAGAAGACTACGTCCTTCACAAACCCCCCTCAACTTCTCTAGTCCTTCCTGAGTTTCTCTTCCTCTGAGCTTCTTTGCAATACCAAACAATTTAATACTTATTCATATCCAAGCAGTATTATGTGCCATTGTTTCTGTTTCCCCAATGGAAAATTTCTTAAGGGAACAAACTATGTGGGATCCACCAGAAGGCTTCTGAGCACAGGCTTGCGAGTCAGACTGAGGCTGAATTCTGACCACAACACACACACACCCCAGGTAACTCATCTATAAAACGGATGTAAAAACAGCACCTGTTTCATAGGGTATTTCTAAGAAGTAAATGAGAGAATCAAGTTCGAAAGCATTTTCCACAATGCCTGGGAAAAAAATGCTCAATAAATAATTATTTAAATAATAACATATTGCCCACAGCCTAGCCTAGTACTTGCTGAAAGTACAGCTGGAGCTCAACAAGTAGTTACAAGTAGTTGCAATTCATTGGTGAGAAATTATTGGAGGTCAGGGATTTGTAAAAACTACACAAAGAAAGAAAAGAATGAGAGAGCAGAAGAAAGTAAAATATTAGAGTGGAACAGGGAAAACAGGATTTCAGAACTAAGTCAAATCTTCAATTATCTCCTGAGTACCAACTGTGTGTAAGCACACCGAGGGACATACAGGGCAATGTAAGATGTCCTACACTCATGGGGCTAACAATCTAGCTAAGTAGTTAAGACAACACATAAAATAACTATAAATACAACAAGTACATAAATGCCAAATGAATGGTATTGCCAGCAGTTCCCAGGTATTTGGGGTGGGGGGGATGGGACATAACTCCTTTTTACCATCAACTATATTTTTTATCATATATGATATAGGCTATTCCTTACAACCTGTTGTTTGAAAAAAAATCCTATCAATAAAATAGTTATGAATTCAACAACATTTTCCAGTGAATTTCCACATACTCTGCAAAAGAAGTAGAACATATATGCTTTAGATGTCATTAACTCAAGATATGGTATTTGATGACTCAGGATTCACAAGCCTAGCCACTGGGCAACATATACATACACACACACACACACTCACAGGGATCACTGGCATAGACTCCTATTGACAAAAGGAGTTCAGAAGCAAGGAAGAGAAGATTAAGTGACAAACTTTCAACAGATTCAACTCAATGAACATTTATAAACTATTATAAGGAAAAACAATGCTTGTAAAAATAGGTAAATAGATCCAGACAAGTTTCACAGAAGTAAAGGTGGATCTGAGAAGATCCTGAAAGATGGATAAGATGAAATGGGCACAGAGAATTGGAAAGGAAGGAACACAGGAGAATCAGCATGAGCAAAGGAGAAATACAGTAGCAAACCAAAGTACCAAAGCCTACCTTTGTAGGAACATTGGGGTAAAAGTGAAGGGTGAGTAACTTTGGCACAAAGTTTAGACCTCCAATAAATGAAAGGACACAGCTTCCTAAAAGATGAGTAGTACAGATGCCAGGAGCTACTATGGAAATAGCACAGGCTCCAGAGCTCCAAGGATTGGACTTGAACCTGGGATCCAAAACTTACTAGACCCTGGGTTAGTCATGGCTCCCCAAGCCTACATGTCCCCCACCATAAAATAGAAATCTAACACCATTAAACTCAGAGGAATATAATGGTTTTGAGGGGAGGCTCAAAGTAAGTAACTATTTTGAAGTATTTTGGACAGTGTCTAACACAGCAGATTACTAACTCGGTGATCACCATGACTATTCACACTCCACAAGATACAGCAGGCCCTCTAATAAAGTTGTTTTGTTCAACAGCATTTCATTCTAATGTTAATAAGAAAAAAAATCGATTCATAGATGGGGCCACTGTCTGCGTGGAGTTTGCCTATTCTCCCCATGTCTGTGTGGGTGTCCTTCCATATTCCAAATATGTGCATGTTAGGTTAATTAGAGAGTCTACATTGTCCTAGTCTGAGCGAGTATAGGTGTGTGTGTGAGTGCACTCTGTGATGGAAGGGTGTCCTATTCAGTGTGGGTCCCGCTTTGTGTTCTGAGCTGCCAGGGGCACACCTGCAACTCTGAACTGGAATAAGTGGGTTGAAAAATAATTCTTACTTGTTTTTATTAATAGTTCTTAGATGTATATATCTAAGAACTCACATTTATTTCATTGTTTAATATTACAAATGTTTTGGGCCTTTATTTAGAAGTTTGGTAATGTTTTTGTGACCAGTGGTAATGTTTTTGCTGTAGGAAATTAACTTTACTGATATCAATTAGCTGATGGTGAAATTGGTTTCGTTAGATGTCTCGTTTCAATTAAAGTTTCAGTTTCCAAGAATCTACTGAATATCATTAAATGAGGACTTACTGTAGCCTTAAAGGTAAGACTGGCTCCATGTTAGTCCAGCATTTCTTAAACAGATTTGACCACAACACAGTTTTAAATTAAAATTTACAAAAATACAAAAGGAGCTCAAGATGTAGTAGGTGTACTTAGATTGGCATGGGATGACAAATAAAAAATACCTAGTAATCCAAACTATAAATTCAACAACATTTTGGATAAATCTGTATTTTATTAATCACAAATCAAAAAGTCTCATGGATGAATTAACAGTTGCAGAATATAATCAGTTTTAAAAAGCTTTATAACCTTCCCCCTTACTAAAAAAAGAAGTAAAATTCAATCATTTTATTAAGAACATGTTTTAATTTTCTACAGAACACTTTTTTAACAGTCTATAGTTTAGGAAATATTGCCTCAAAGTGGGGTGGGGTGCTAAAATAGAGGACAAGATAAATAGGAACTAGGAAGGTACAATAAATAAAACATTTTTCTACATTTTTGTGATTTTCAACCAGTGTGCCGCAGAATTTTTAAAACATTTAATACCTGACTATTTAGTCAGGGGCACTGACCTCTTTTTCCTTAGACTGTCATATGAAAAAAAAAAAAAATGACAACAGCCCTGGCCTGTGTGGCTCAGTTGTTTGGAGCACCCTCTCATATACCAAAAGGTGGCAGGTCAGGGCACATACCAAGGTGGCGGGTTGGATCCCTGGTCAGGGTGGGTACAGGAGGCAACCAATTGATGTTTCTTTCTCACATCAGTGTTCCTCTCTCTCTCTCTCTGAAAAAAAAATCAATTAAAAAATTAAAATAAAAAATGACAACAGCCAAAACAATAGCCGTCTGGTGCGAATGAATCAAAATTATACCTTTTTTTGGGTCAGACTGGCAAAAAATGTACTTTTGGTGTGCCACAGAATTTTAGTAATTAGTTTATGTAAGCCATGAGATGAAAAAGGTTGAAAATCACTGGCTTAGTTAAACTTGATACTTCTTCCCAACACCTCCAATTTAAGGACTATTAAAGCACCTACTGTGTGCCAGGAATATTACAGGCATTAGGGAATAGGTTTTCTTGGAAGGAAGGGAACAAAGAAAGAAACAGGGTATCATTTTCAAATTCTGCTCCTGAATTTGTGTTTTTTTTTTAAATGTACATACAATATTACTGTTGAAATATGACACTTTTTAAGAAGTGAAAACTAAAGCTTAAAGACAATCTGCTCTGGTAAAATGGACACAGCTCTGACTGCAGAGACTTCTTTACCTGACTGCCAAAGGGAGCTTCGACCAGTGGAAGCCAGGGTAGAAAATGGAGACCCTAAACCTATGGACTCCACGGCTGGTTAACTGTTAACTCAGGTGTGGACTAAGAGACATATTTGGAACTTGGCATCCACTCTGAACTTGTATTCAAAAACACTAGCGGGGTCTAATGAAGGAGAACCATCCCCCCTTCTGGCCGAGCTAAGAAAAGTAGATGTCAAAGGCAGCTAAAAATGCCATGCAGGACTGAAGGCAGCAGAAGCCAGAGATATCCAGGAGTGAAACTGTCAAAGTGCTTGCTCAAAGACAGTGCTGCCACCCTCACACTAAAGACAGTGGCTGAGAGCAGCAAATTTTTTTTTTTTAAATATATCTTTATTGATTTCAGAGAGAGGAAAGGAGATGGAGAGAGAGATATAGAAACATCAATGATGAGAGTCATTGGCTGTAGCCCACAACCCAGGCATGTGCCCTGACCAGGAATCGAACCCTGATGGCCTGGATCCTAGGTCGACACTCAACCGCTGAGCCACGCCCGGCTGGGCGAGAGCAGCAATTTTTAACTGGTGTGTTGCTAGAATTTGTAAATCATGCAATACCTATTTAGTCAGGGGCATGGACCTCTTTTCCCTTTGATTGTCAAATGAAAAAAATGACAAGAGCCTACACAATAGCCGTCCTGTGTGACTGAATCAAAATTATATCTATTTTTTTGTCAGATCAATAATAAATATATTTTTTGGTGTGCCACAAAATTTTAGTAATTGGTTTGTGTGCCATGAGATGAAAAAAGTTGAAAATTGCTGGATTAGGGTGTTAGAAAATCACTGGCTTAGAGAGTTGTGTTTACCTCCAGTCTGTGCCACTGTGCCAGGAGAGGGCTGGGAGGGATGGTCGGTTACTTTCCGTGTGTTAATCCTGGCAGCCAGAGCAGAGCTGAAGGCAAACCCAGGGCAGAGAAGTGGAAAGGAAAGTATGATTAATAATTATAATCTGAGTTTAGAGAGTACCTCTTTTTTCCTGATGAGCTTGAAGTGCTTTGGAGACATTACTTCAGATTCTTTATTTAAAGATCTCACAGGTAAGTCATAGACAATATCTAGTACATGGGAAAGGTGAGATATCAAAGATTAGGAAAAGCACACATACCCATACCAATTTCCTCTGCAAAATCAGCAAAGAGATGAAACTAAGAGCTCCGCTTCTCCTAGCTATTCTTGGTAGCATAGGCTGCCTCAAAAAAATGATTCTTAGAGTTTCAGGAAAAATGAGTATTACAAAGGTTCCAAAATAAGTGTCTAGAATTTCACAGAAGAGAATACTTCTGCCTTACCCTCCTCACTGTACAGCACAGATCAAGAGTCCGAGTTGCCTTAAATTATTTCTAAGACAAGCCAAAAAAGGAATAAAGAGGGAAGGAACATGGGAGAAAGAAGGAAAACAAAAGCTCATGTATGTTGCCTAGGTCAAAGAAGTTCCAATTTTCATCTTAAGAGAGGGACACTAGTGATTCCATAAGGCCTGTCTACTGCAAACAACCAAAGCAGTAGAACTACAGGATAAATCGCTAGTCATTTTATGTTTCTTTCTTGTTCCTTAAAAAAAAAAGTACATATGTTTCTACAAGAACACTCAATCACTTAGCATTTACTGTGAGTCTACTAACGACCAGGCATCATGTTGCGTCTGAGTACAGAATGTGAGCAAAATGCTGTCTCCTATGTCCCAGAAATGGAAATATAGATGGTAGTCATAACCATTAGCATAAAAATGTCAATACTACAAATAGAAAAAGCAGTCCATACTTCTTTTTGTTTGTTTGTTTTGCTAATCCGCACTTGAGGATATTTTTTCCATTGATTTTTTTTTAGAGAGAGTGGAAGGAAGGGATGAAGGGGAAGAGTGAGGAAGGGAGGGAAAGGGAGAGAAACATGGATATGAGAAAGACACATCAATTGGCTGCTTCTGCACTTGCCCTGACTGGGGCCCAGGGTCGAACCTGCAACCCAGGTATGTGCCCTTGATTGGAAATAGAACCTGTGACCCTTCGGTGTGTGCGCCGATGGTCTAACCATTAAGTCACACAGGCCAGGGCTCAGTCCATACTTCTGGATTGTGAACAGCTCTATGGGGGGAAAAGAATAGCAGAATATAAGGGGCATCCTTGGCTGATGTGATCAGGAAAGGCCTTGGTAATGCAGTGATGTCTTGACTGAGACTGGAAGAATAGCATTAAGTGAAGGTAGGAGCTTTCTCTAAGGGCAGAAGGAATCACACGTGCACAGAGTATCAGGTTCGAGAATAGACTTGGGCCTTCCAGGGATCAAGGCCAGTGGGTTTAGGGTTCACTGGAAAATGAAAAATAATCTGGCAGGGCAGGCAAGCCCAAGCCATACGAAGCCAGGCTAGACATCTTAAGGAATTTGATTTAAGGGCTTTGTTTTTCCTATATCTTTCACAGCTCCTAGCCCAATGCCTTCCTCATAATAGACACTAAGAAAATACATGTTTATTTCAGCAAATCAAGTGACCATTTAACAAGCAATGCAATGATTTCAAATCTTGGCCCTCAAGAATCTTATAATCTGGTTTGTAGAAAAAAGAAACCAGACCACCCCTCAACCCCAAATGACTGTTCTTGAGACAAGAAAAATATCCTGAGGTAATATCTGATTAAATGCCAAATGAAATGTTTGGGTTATATAGAGTTCACTGAAAGGGGGATAATTTTAGGCTACAGTGGTGAAACAGGTTTCCCAGAGTGTAGGGAACTCCAAATGGAAACTGAAGTCTGGGAGAATTTGGCTAAGCTGCCTGTAGAGGATGCTGCATATACACAGAGCAGTGTACACAGACATGTAGACATAGAAAGGGCAGGTGGGCGCATCCTGAAAAATACTGCTGTCCATCCCAAAGGCAGCTCCAGGTGGGTTCACCCAGCCTAGGGTCCTGGCACGGAGATAAAAGGAAGATGCCTACAGGCCAGGGTCCCCAGCTGGTCTCCTGCCTGACACTCTGGGGGAGCTGGATAAGGAAAGTGAGACTGTCTGCCCTGAGAAGGGCAGGCAGAGAGATATGGATCTAATTCACAGAGATAAAAAATTAAATCCCAAGAAGGGCAAGAAGGGGCAAAAATTCAAGTTGTAGTATTATGCAACTGAAATTCCATGCATAAGTCAGGAAATTCAAAGGTCACAGTTCCCACAGTAACTGTAACCTGACCCGTCAGCGCATACAGTTTTTGGCACTGCCAGACTGAAAGCAACCTACCATGCTTAGCACTTACGCCGCCAGTACATACCTGCTGCTCTGTAGCACCAGGCAGTCCACGCCTGTGCTCTGTTCAGAGCCCACCTGGGCTCCCCACATCAGGCTGCACTGGGCCTTCAGTCATTCTCTACAGTCCTCAAGTCTTTTAGACAGAGCTTTATCCTGAGTCTCTATGCCTACTGAACAGCAGGTCTTCAATCTTAACTCTTCTGTGGGTTGAATTACCTTAAGAGGGAAAAGAGAACTATACGCATGTGGGGGTAAGGGCTGCTACCTCCCTATTCTCTGTTATTTTGTGGTACCATAACACTTGCCAAGCCTCATCGGATGGGAGACAGGACAAGGCAAGGGGAGCAGCTGGGAATGGTGGCAAGGGAATGTTGGACTTCAAAAGGCACCATAAAAAGTGAAAAGACAACCCACAGAGTGAAAGATTTCTGCAAATCATATTATCTGATTTGTTTCTAGAGAATATGTAACTGAGCACATGTTCCTTCCCAAGAGAGGCTAGGATACAGGCAGAGTCATCCAGACCCTGACCTGCCCTAAGGCAGCCTGTATTGTGATAATGAAGAGGGGACATGAGGCCCTGCACCCTCATCCCCCAGCCTGGGGTGACTGTTAAGGCTGTGGGTATCTATCTGCCTGTGGGTGGGAAGAGAGCCAATAGGGCCTGGCTTAGAAACAGGTAATCATGGCCTTTTTAAAAGACAGGTCCCCTGAAGTCTTCCTCATTACTGTTCAATCATTGCAACTGAAAAGACTCACACACCCCAAAAGGGTTGATGTCCTGGAAATCCTAGCCATCGTTGGGCCTTGGCTTTATGTGAGTAGCTGAAACAACAGGCTCAGGGAAAAGAATGACTTTTTTTTTTTTTAATCCTCACCCAAGGATATGTTTTTATTGATTTCTAGAGAGAGAGGAAGGGGCAGAGAGAAAGCGAGAAACATAGATCGGTTGCCTCTCATAGGCGAAGGATCAAACCTGCAACCTGGGTTTGTGCTCTGACCAGGAATTGAACCTGAACGATGCTCCAACCAACTGAGCCACCTGGCCAGGGCAAAAATGACTTTCTTGTTACTTTGGCTCCCAAGATGAATATAGACAAGAAAAAGAGCAAAGCAGTCAAGAGAAAGCCCGGCTCCTGAGAGATCTATGACTAAGACTAGCTTTACTGAGCAGCTGCCAGACCCTAAGCATGGCCCTCAATGGTGCTCATAAAACCACCTTGCATGACCATTACGAGAATTAAATGAGGCAATATGTAAGAGCCTATACTAAAGGGCCTAACACACAAGAGATAATAAGTGGGAATTAATAGTATTGTTGTTATTTCTTTTCACACTTTATGTTTTACCAAAAATACTGCTACCCAATTTGATCACCTACTTCATTTATAAGAGCTGGGTGGAAATGAATGTTTTGGTTGTTTCAAAGCAACAACAACAATATAGCTAACATTTAATATGTACTTACTATGTGATGACCACTATTTTGTATGTTGTTCTTTGAACTTCACACAAGATCATTTAATCCTCATAATAAGGATATTAGATAGGTATTATCTACATTTTTATAGATGAAAAACCAGAAATTTAATAATATATCAAGGTCACATAGTTTTAAGTGGCAGAAGATAGAACTGAACCCAGGCAGTATGACTTTAAAGCCCTCACATCTAACCACATCAGATCCATCTTCAAAGTATGAATATCTGTCCTTACCAAGAATAATACAGGCAAAGAAACCAAAACATCACAGGTTCTAAAAACATTCCAAGAGTGACTGACTTCTCTGGAAGAACTGTTAGTTTCAGGTCATCTTGTGATCATAAATCCATATGGAATGATTCTGAGTTCTACAGAAGAGAAAGGCCAGAACAATCCAAGTTGCCCTCAATACCCACTAGCATACACTTGACCCCAAGCAACTCCATCTAAAATGGGAATATGGAACCATGCTTTATCTCAAAATTACACCTGTTAAAAAGTCATCCAAGCATTTTGATGCCCAATGAGTAACACTTAATGACCAAGCCTGGGAATTTTTTAACTGTACTATACCCTACTTGATTCACTTCCTATTTAATGAATTCCCACAATATCCTTGCATTTGGAAAGAACTTCTCATCTCCGTTGTTCCTTAGCAAGATTCCTCTCTTTCTCACATTTGTTTCTATGCTCCACCCTATCCCCCAGCTACATGATTTATATCCACTTGTTCAGATTACATGCAAAGAAGAAACCCCAACACACTTATTTACCCCAGCTTAGAAATGACAATACCTGATAAAGAGTTAAAAGGGATACAGAACAAATGAGGTTCTGAAATAACACATTTGCAAGTAATCACAAGTATGTCCCCCAAAAGAGAACCCAGCATTACCACCTACCAGTGGTAATGTGATCTTGGACACATTGTTTCCTGTTCAAGATCACACCTCCTGAGCTTGCTCCCTCCCTTGTTGACCGGGAACAGTACTTACTGTTATAGAGGTGTCACAGGTGGCTTAAAACAGAACTTTATCACTAAGTAAAATGTCCTTGGGGCGTGTGTGAAGGGAGCCTAATATATGGCGACAGAAGAAGATATGACTTTGGGTGGTGGGCACACAGGGCAATATACAGATCTTAGAGCATAGAAATATACACCTGAAACCTATATGATCCTATTAACCAATGTCACACCAATAAACTTAATTTTAAAAAAGTCTTCTTTTTAATCTTGTCTAAACAATAGTGGGAGAGGGTGGACTGCTAAAATATTTTGTAGGGATCAGTATAAGAGATAGTTTAAGTTTTTCATTCTGGTAATTTATCTTCATAACCCAGATGTACTTTTTGTTATTAAATTCCATGCCTTATACTAGAGTGAATAAAGCTGAAAAATCTCATTAGATAACACAAGGGAGTTGACATTACAATGGGAAATGACAATGCTCCATTTTCCTGGCTTGTGCTGAAATATAATCTCAATACATTTGTTTCCAACTATTCTCAGAAGTCTGGCCCCCAATCAATGTGTTCAGCAGTCATCAGCTTATGGTTGTTTTCACCAGCAACATGGTGAGTAAATGCTATAAAGAACCTAATATGCTTTAGTCTCTGATTTCACAGGACTTTAAGTTTAAAAGCTAAAACAAAGTCACCAACATAAGAGGTTCTGAGTATTAAAAGTTATGAGACTGGTTATATACTATTCAACTCTAGAGAATTTTAAAATATAACAGAAACACTTGAAAGTTTAAATCTGGGCTTATCAAGAACTGAGGGCAAATTTGAATCATCAAAATTAAAAGATTTTATGCTTCATAGCATAAAGAACACCATCAAGAAAGTGAAAAGACAACCCACAGAATGGGGTAAAATATTTGCAAATTGTATATCTGATAAGGAACTTATATCCAGAATATGCAAAGAACTGTTACAATTCAATAAAAAAAGTAACCCAAATGTTTAAGTGAGCTAGAGATTTGATTATATATTTCTCCAAAGAAGACATACAAATGGCCAATAAACACACAAAAAGCTAGTCAACATCATTAACTATTAGGAAAATGTAAATAGAAACTACAATGAGGACTTCTAG